CATCATTACACACTGGTGCCAGTCAGGTAAAGTCCCTTAGTTAATGATTTGGGGATTTTTTTTTTTGTAGCAGGAAAGTGTTTTACTAAAAATTTATCTAAGGGACACAATGATGAGAGTTCAAGCATGTAATGATCAGAATGAAGTGTCCTATGAGATTCCAGACAACCTGCCTTTTTGCTGATAAGTTTGTACCGATGCTCACCCAGTTCTCAATCTGCCGGTCTTCTATTTCCTCTAAAAATGGAAGAACTCTTTATCCACTCTTTATTCTCCTAAGCAGAAATATGCTCTTTCTCAAACCTGATGCCTCATAAAACTTTCTGATGTTTTGCTTGAATACCGTGGTGGTTGTGGGGAAGAGATTTGGTCAGTTTTTCCTTTATTTCCCTTTCTGGTTCTTCAAATACCACTGCACAGAAGTTCGTTTGCCTTATTGTTGTACTTGGGCTGTGAAGACACCAGGAAAAGTAGAGACATGTGGAGCCTTAGCTGGCTGTCCTCCTAGCACACCTGTATCTATAAAATTTACAAGAATTTAATACATGAACAGCAAAGATAGTATAATACATTTTAAAAAATATAACCGTCCTTACATGTGTTCCCAACCCCGAATACATGTAAATCCACGGCTGATTCATGTCAATGTATGACAAAAACCACTACAATACTGTAAACTAATTAGCCTCCAACTAATAAAAATAAATGAAAAAAAAAGAAAAAAAATACAACCATGCTTAAACTCCTTTGAAACTTTAAAATGGTGACATTCTGTTCCCAACTTCAGATCTGTAAATATAATGTAAGAAAATAATACACATACAAAAGGCATCCAGTTTGTATCCCCCTCAGATCTTATTCCCTCCTCCTGAGAGTCAAAATCATCTTGCATGTGATAGTGTTCCCCCTTGCATTGTTTTATATTGTGCGTGTGTTCACAAACATATGTAAGACAAGCACATTAACCATAACACCTATCATTTAGGAAACAGAGAAATAAAGGATGATATAATAATAAAGTGTTAAAATCTGCCTGCAGTGTTGGAGACCTGAGTTTGGTCCCTGGTTGGGAATATCCCCTGGAGGAGGGCATGGTGATCCACTCCAGTAGTCTTGCTTGGAGAACCCCCATGGACAGAGCAGCCTGGTGGGCTATAGTCCATGGGGTTGCAAAGAGTCGGACATGACTGAGTGACTAAGCACAACAGTATAGTGAGGTTTCCCAGGTGGCTCGGTGGTAAAGAATCTGCCTGCCAATGTGGGAGACACAGAGACGTGGGTTTGATCCTTGGGTCAAGAAGATCCCCTGGAGGAGGAAATGGCAACCCACTCCAATATTCTTGCCTGAAAAATTCCATGGACACAGGAGCCTGATGGGCTACAGTCCATGGGGTTTCAAAGAGTTGGCCACGACTGCATGACTGAGCACACACACAACAATATAGTGGAATACTCTCTGGTAATTAAAATTAATGAAGAGGGATTAAAAATACAACAATAAAGAGGAGATAAATTACACAAGAACGCCGATTGTAAATGACGTATACTATGTGGTCCTAACTATATAAATGGACTTCCCTGATGGTAAAGCATCTGCCTACAATGCGGGAGACCCTGGTTCAATCCCTGGGTCAGGAAGATTCCCCTGGAGAAGGAAATGGCAATCCACTCCAGTACTCTTGCCCAGAAAATCCCATAGATGGAGGATCTTGTTAGGCTACAGTCTTTGGGGTCACAAGGAGTCAGACACGACTGAGCGACTTCACTTCACTTTACTTCAACTATATAAAACTTAAAAATGCAGTACAATGCAACTGTCCACGAAACAATAACCCTGCTTATAATAAAAATTGTTGAAGAATAATATATATGTAATTCATTTAGTGGTTCTCTTGAGGAAGGAAAAGCATCAAGATTTGCCAACACATGCTGTGGGGACTCCATATACATCTGTGTTATTTATTGCAATAAAACACCTAGAATGAGGACTGTGATGTGTGTGAATTTGATACTTTTCACAAGATGGGAATGCTGCTTGTACTTATTTCTGTATTTCTTTGCTTGAATAATCCTCCAGGTTTATATTTGTTGTGGATTATTATTTATAAGTGTTCAATATATATTTTACATTTTCTAATGTTGTAGACCTTGTCATTCAAAAGATTTATCTTACCGTTTTCATAATTGATTTGTGTATCTGGTTTATTTTATCATTTATTTCATTTTAATTTCTATTTCATCATGTGTCCATGGCCAATGAACATGAATATCATCAATGTTTCCTTCATATTTTTTCTATGTGATGATGATTTCTAACTGGAGTTTAAGGCCATAACACCTCCCTGAAATTTTCAGTTGCCATGGAAGAATATTCATTCTCCCTTTCTATTGTCTTCTTTCAATATGATCACTGCTTCTTTCTGAGGAGTGTAATGAGACAGGTGCCTTTGTTCATGAAGAAAGTTTTAAAATAGGATAGGTGAGTACAAGGGTCTCATATGCTGAGTACTATACTGATGTCTCTTTATTCATTTCTCATCATTTCAATATTCCATAATATTTTATAATAGCTCCCATTAAACAAATAAGGACTTTGAAGTTTCTTAAACAGTTGAACAATTTTTGAATTCTGAAAGAAAGTGCTGGTCCTGGATTAAGTTCATAGTGTTTGAGTCTAAATAATATACTAGCTAATAAGGACTGACATAGCCACTTCTGTCTCCCCCAGCTGCGGAGGACTATTGCTTTATAGTCCTGTAGGATGCCTGAATATTTATGTTGTTGTTCAGTCACCCAGTCATATCCAACTCTTTGTGACTCCATGGACCGCAGCACTTCAGGCTTTCCTGTCCTTCACCATCTCCTGGAATTTGCTCATGTCCATTGAGTCAGTGATGCGATCTAACCATCTCAAGCTCTGCCACCCTCTTCTCCTTTTGCCCTCAATCCTTCCCAACATCAGGGTCTCTTCCAGCCAGTTGACTCCATCAGATGGCCCAAGTATTGGAGCTTCAGCTTCAGCATCAGAACTTTCAGTGAATATTCAGGGTTGATTTTCTTTAGGATTCACTGGTTGATCTCCCTGCTGTCCAAGGGACTCTCAAGAGTCTTCTCCAGCACCACAGTTTGAAGGCATCAATTCTTTGGTGCTCAGCTATACAATTTTTATTTTGCCTGCACTGGGTCTTTGCTGCAGTGCTGGACTCTGTTGCTAGTTATGGCATGCGGGCTTCTCCCTGTGGTACACAAGCTTTGCTAGTTGCAACAGAAGGCTCTAGAGGAGGTCGGCTCAGGAGTTATAGTGCACAGGCTTAGTTGCTGCATGGCATGATGTATCTTAGTTCCCAGACCAGGGATGGAACCCACGTCCCCTACATTAGGAGGTGGATCACTAGGGAAGTCTCAATGCCTGAATATTTTTGAAGTGTCATATGTCTGTCTTATCTTGTAGTTTTCTGTCTTCTAAGGACCAAAACTTGTTGCTCTGCAGGCATGCTCAGGCTCTTCAGTCTTGTCTGACTCTTTGTGACCCCACGCACTGAAGCCCACCAAGCTCCTCTGTCCATGGGATTTCCCAGGCAAGAATATTGGAGTGTTGCCATTTCCTCTTCCAAGGAATCTTCCCAATCCAGAGACAGAACCCGTGTCTCCTACAGCTCCTGCTTTGGCAGGCAGATTCTTAACCACTGAGCCAACTGGGAAGCCCACATTTTTGCTATTTTAATCTATTTTTTGAAGCTTATGAATTTAATTCTCTCTCATCTAGCTATTTTGTTTTAATGATATCTCACCTATCATCTTAGGGGAAGAAATTCCCCTAGGATGAAACACAATGTGATATTTGTCCAGCTTCTCTTAGAATTAATTGCTAATGCAGATGAGTTGCATATCATGAAGGAATCTACATGATATTTTCTTTTCTAAAGTGAAAGTTGATATAATGAAATGTCAAACTCAAACATAATCAACATCTTTTCTAAAACTATTCCATTTTGTTACTATTGTAAATGAATCTTACTTTTGACCTTTATAAACTACCAAAAATAAAGAGCTGGTTTTATGAAAAGATCAAATAAAAAATTGTTATGGGTGAGGATATATGTCATTTCTAGTCGGGTGCAGAGCCTATACTTGTATAGATGCCACGACCTGCTACGCAATACTTCATGGGGAGAGACAAACATATGTTGTAGGCAGGAGAAAAGATCTGGTGCATTTTCAAGATGAAAATATTAAACTGTTAAAGGGAAATTATAAAATCTGAATGTTGGTTTTGGAATGCTAATTCTGTACTATCCAGAGTCAACTCAGTGGTGAGAGGATCTGAGCTCAGACTTAATATTTTCTATCCACTGTGTATTTCATGACCTTGATGTAACCTCACCTTACCTAAGTGTTCCCTGGATGAATAGAGATATATTATAACTCAGATATGTAACTTAGATCTGATAACTCATCCTATAGTCTGATAAGCCCCTCAAGTCATTTTGAGGTATGTCATTTGGGGCACCACACTCCACAAGACAGATTAAATAAATGCATTCTCATCTTTCTGTTTGTTTGAAGCAAGAAATAATTCTGAAGGAAATGTCACATTTTATTCTTTATTTCAGTCTCAGCACTTGGCACAAAGTGTGAACAAGTGCTGGTGATCAATAAAAATAAGAGCCAACAAAGTGTGAAATGTGATGATGGAGGGAAAAATTAGCAAAGGGAAATACTTAAATGCTCTCTTGGATTTACAATATACATAGAATTTTATTTCTTTGTATTCAATATTTAAGCACTATTTTTTTCAAACTTTATAATATATCAAATTCATCTGGTGGGTTTATTGAAACTTGAATTTCTGGCCCTTACCCCTAGAGCTTATAAGCAGTAAATCTACAGTGATACCAAGAGTTTGCAGTTCTAATCAGTTCCCAAGGGCTGCTGCTGCTCACCTGGGGACCCTTCATTCTATTTTGTTTTCACTCCATTTTTCCTTCAGATTCATCAACAATATGGAAACCAGAAATCAAACAGATGTTTCCAATTTTTATCTCCTGGGATTGACAGATGATCCAGAACTACAGCTCCACATCTTCTTCCTGTTCCTGTCCATGTACCTGATCAGTCTCCTGGGAAACTTGCTCATCATCCTGGCTGTCAGCTGTGACCCCCACCTCCACACCCCCATGTACTTTTTCCTCTCCAACCTGTCCTTTACTGATATCTGCATGAGCACAACCACGATCCCCAAAATGCTGGTCAACATCCAAACACAAAATCAGAGCATCACATATTCAGGCTGCCTCACCCAGATGTGCTTCGTCATGGTTTTTGCCTTTCTGGAAAATTTTCTCCTTACTGTCATGGCTTATGACCGCTATGTGGCCATTTGTCACCCCTTAAGATACTCAATTATCATGAACCCGCAAAACTGTGGCCTGCTGATTATATTCTCACTGTTGCTAAGCATTCTGAATGCTCTGCTCCTCAGTCTGACAGCATTGCGGCTGTCCTTTTGCAAGGACGTGGAAATCCCTCACTTTTTCTGTGAACTTGCTCAGGTTGTCAAGCTAACATGTTCTGATACCCACATCAATGACCTTTTGTTATATTTGGTGGGTAGCATATTTGGTGTCGTTCCTCTCTCTGGGATCATTTTCTCTTATACTCGAATTGTCTCCTCTGTTTTGAGAATGTCATCAGCGGGTGCAAAGCTGAAAGCTTTCTCCACCTGTGGATCTCACTTGTCAGTTGTTTCCTTATTCTATGGGACAGGTTTTGGAGTTTATATAAGTTCTATACTGACTGGCTCATCCAGAAAGACTGCAGTGGCTTCAGTTATGTACATCGTGGTTTCTCAGATGATGAACTCTTTTATCTACAGCCTGAGAAACAGGGACATGAAGGGAGCCTTGAGAAAGCTCGTCAGCGGGACACCTTCTTTTCTGTGGTTCTGCCCTCTACCTTGGACTTGTGTTTGTAGAATAAGGCAAAATAATAGTTAATAGATATATGTAGAATATTCCATTTGTAAGTGGCAGAATATACATTTTTGTGTGTGCATGGACATTCTGTAGCATAGATAATATGTGGATCATTGATATACAAAAAAGGAGGCAAGAATGTGCAATGGGTAATTGACTATATGTATATAAATGAATTATATATAAATAATATATATAAGAAACCTCCTTCAAAAAAGGAGACCCAGGTTCAATCCCTGGGTCAGGAAGATCCCCTCGAGAAGGAAATGGCAACCCACTCCAGTATTCTTGCCTGGGAAATCCCATGAACAGAGGAGCGTGGTGAGCTACAGCCCATGTGGTCACAAAGAGTCAGATGCAACTGAGCGACTAACAATTTCACACTTTCATGTATGTATATGCAATATTACTCAGCCATAGACAGGAATGAAATTTTGCCATTTGCTACAGCATGAATGGGCTTGGCGGGGTGGGTACTATGCTTAGTGAAATTAGTCACAGAGAGAAAGACAAAGTATGCTATCACTTACATGTGGAATCTAAAAAATAAAATGCATGAGTGGATGTAACAAAATTAAGCAGACTCACAGATACTGAGAACCACCCAGTTGTTACTAGTGAGAAGAATAAGGTAGGAGAAGCAAGAAATTGGCAAGGGATTAAAAGGTACAAACTGCTATGTATAAAATAAATGAGCTACAAGGATATATTGTACTGTAAATTAGCCAATATTTGATAATTCACTTCATTGTACAGCAGAAACCAGCACAACATATACCCCAATAAAATACATAATAACTTTAAATGCAGATTAATTTATAAAAATTTTGGATGACTACACTGTACAACTGAAACTAATCTAATAACATAAATCATCTACACCTCAGAAAACATAAATAAACACTAGGGGTGCAATGTACAGCATGATGACACTACTTAACATTGACATATGATTTATAGGAAAGTAGTTAGAGTAAATCTTGAAAGTAAGAAAATGTATTTTCTTTCTTTTTTCTGTCTTTTCATTGTATCTCTTGATTATGACTGTTAGCTGAACCTGTTGTGATAATCATTTCACAATATATGTAAATCAAATTATCTGCTATATACCTCAAACTTATACAATGATGTGTGTTAATTATTTCTCAACAAACTAAGAAAAAGGAAATGTACAATGAAATTACTGTGCCAAAATTGGAAAAGGTGAATATGAACTCTGAAAAGGGATTAACTACCTATGCTGATTGAAACAAAGCTGTCCAAACAGAATTGGAAAGAAGTAGATGGTGTGCAGCTACCTTGCCTCAGAGGGTCAGACATTGGCCATCATAAACTCATTCATTCTAGAGTCTTGATCTGGAAGGTCCAGGGGTCAGCATGATACTAAAATAGCTTGTCTAATGAGGAGCTTTAGTTATTGATCCCCAGGAATGTAGAGACTGCAAGAGTCTGCCAGTGACCACCTCACTCAACAGTCCTCGCTCAGTAAGGAAGCAGGAGACCTGAACCTCCTTCCAGAGATGATATTTCTTGGCCTGGAGCCCGTTGCCTCAACCAGTTTGTCTGGTCCTTCTGAGGACAGATCTTCTGTCTTCAAGATCCATGGGAGATATTAATACCAAGTACCAGACTTTAGTGATGTCAGCCAGGAAACACAGTCTCTTTGAGATCACTACATTATAATTTCTTACAGGAGAAGCAGTGAGGAGAGACATAAGATTAAAACCAAGACCCTCGTGTCCCCCAACAAACCCGGACTTTCTTTTTTGACACGTTCACATATATGTTTGTATGAATTCTCACCCAGCACTTTTTCCCCTGGGATCCTACACTCTGTCTACAATGGCAGGACCCATTTTTCTCCTGAGTAGAAATCCTCCCCTTCACAAACATGGGTGCTATAAAATGTTTCCTTGAATTCTTGTGCTGGTGGTGAAGGGGCTTGTACACTGTATTAGTTTGCTGTGCTGTGTACTTAGTCACTTAGTCATGTCCGACTCTTTGTGACCCCATGGACTGCAGCCCACCAGGCTCCTCTGTCTATGGGATTCTCCAGGCAAGAATACTGAAGTGGGTTGCCATGCCCTTCTCCAGGGGATCTTCCCAGCCCAGGGACTGAACCCAGGTCTCCTGTATTGCAGGCATTCTTTACCATCTGAGCCCCTGGGAAGCTAGTGCTGTCATAACAGAGTAGCACAGATTAGGTGGCTTAATAACAAATTTATTGTCACAGTTCTGGAGATTGGAAGCCTGGTTCAAAGTGTCAGCAGGACTGGTTTCTTCTCAGGCCATTTTTCTTGGCTTGCAGCTGGCCATATTCTCTGTGTTTCTTCATGTGGTCTTGCCTCTGTATGCATGTATCCAAATCTCTTCTTGTTGGATTAAGGTTAACGATTCCATTTTAACCAAATTACATCTTCAAAGATCTTATATCAAATACAGTCATATTCTGAAGATTAGGATGTCAACATATGAATGAAATTAAATTAAAAGACACTTCCTTCTTGGAGGGAAGCTTCGTGGAGTTTCCTCTGTCCTTGGAATTCTCCAGGCAGGAATACTGGAGTGGGTAGCCATTCCCTTCTCCAGGGGATCGTCCCAACCCAGGGATTGAACCCAGGTCTTCTGCATTGCAGGCAGATTCCTAACCATCTGGGCCACAAGGAAAGTCAACAGAAACAGGGGAGGAGCAGTCAAATGGTGGTGCAACCTTGGGGCAGGGTGCTGGTTCCTCCTCAAGGAGTATATATTGAGTATATATAGCAATATCTTTGAGTTCTAAAGAACTGTATCCCCCATCCAGGAGGAGGATGGATATGCCCTTCTCCAGGGGATCTTCCCAACCCAGGGATTGAACCCAGGTCTCCTGTATTGCAGGCATTCTTTACCATCTGAGCCCCTGGGAAGCTAGTGCTGTCATAACAGAGTAGCACAGATTAGGTGGCTTAATAACAAATTTATTGTCACAGTTCTGGAGATTGGAAGCCTGGTTCAAAGTGTCAGCAGGACTGGTTTCTTCTCAGGCCATTTTTCTTGGCTTGCAGCTGGCCATATTCTCTGTGTTTCTTCATGTGGTCTTGCCTCTGTATGCATGTATCCAAATCTCTTCTTGTTGGATTAAGGTTAACGATTCCATTTTAAACAAATTATATCTTCAAAGATCTTATAGCAAGTACAGTCATATTCTGAAAATTAGGATGTCAACATATGAATGAAATTAAATTAAAAGACACTTCCTTCTTGGAGGGAAGCTTTGTGGAGTTCCCTCTGTCCTTGGAATTCTCCAGGCAGGAATACTGGAGTGGGTAGCCATTCCCTTCTCCAGGGGATCGTCCCAACCCAGGGATTGAACCCAGGTCTTCTGCATTGCAGGCAGATTCCTAACCATCTGGGCCACAAGAAAAGTCAACAGAAACAGGGAAGGAGCAGTCAAATGGGGGTGCAACCTTGGGGCAGGGTGCTGGTTCCTCCTCAAGGAGTATATATTGAGTATATATAGCAATATCTTTGAGTTCTGAAGAACTGTATCCCCCATCCAGGAGGAGGATGGTAACTTCAGGCTGAGTGCAAGATTCCTGGAGCCCTGTTACCTCAATACCAAATGATCAGGAGAAAGTCATACACTCTGTAGCCCTCACTCCCAATTTTGCCTTCCTTTTCTGGAAACAGCAATGACATCCTGTTAGGCCTCTTGTTTGGACCCTGCCTATTACAATTACTTATATCTCTGACAGTTTCAGGCTAAATTTTTGTCATTACAATAGTGGATATCAGTTTCAGACATAAAGATACTTCGATTTAGAACAGATGGAGAGAAACTTCTACTCTACTAGGCAGGACAATGTTCATTCTCAACAGAAAATAGTTACAGAAGAAAGATCTCTGCCCCAGTTCTCAAGAAGTTATCTTCAGTATGAAGTCCTGGCAGGGGAGGGGGTTGGGAGGCAGATTTTTAGGGAAACCACTGACTGAAACCACCAACTCTGGCCAAGCATGAGAGTAACCACTTGTATGGGTTATCTTTCAATGAGTGTTCCTGCTAAGGGATGCAGAACTTAAAAGCTACGACCAACTGAAAGAATATGAGGAAGGTCAAAAGTAGGTAGGGATGCAGTCTATATACCCTACTGACCTCCAGGGATCCTTCTCGCTGGAATCCATCCTGGTTGAGTAATACGTGCCACCAGGAAGGACCCTGAGTCAGAATGATTGACCAGAGACAACCCAGAAACTAACCCCATTACCATAAAACCTGAAACTGTGAACCACGTGGCAGAGTAGTTCTGAATTCCCTTACCCCGCTTCGTTCTGCCCAAGCTCCCTTTTCTAATAAAGCCTCTTGCTTTGTCAACATGTGTGTCTCCTTGGACAATGCATTTCCAAGTGTTAGACAAGAGCCCTCTCTCAGACCCTCTCTCTCCTCTTCTTGTTTTGGAGCCCAAAACTACTATTCTTCTCTACCACTATTTCATCTTGCCCAACTGAAATTTGTCTCCATTAAACCCTAACTCCCCATTCTTCCTCCCAAAGATTCTGGCAATGATCATTCTAATCTCTATCTGTATGAGTTTGACTACTTTTGGTACCTTTTAGAAATGAAGCCATTCTATTTTTCCCCATTGTGTCTGACTATGTATTATGATCAGGAAGAAGTTAGATGGAGTGGCAAGGAGAATTATTAGAAAAATTGAGAATTGACTTTTCTCTGGAAGGTAGTCTCTCATCATTCTTGGGAAATCATACATCCTATTTCCCAAAAGTACTAGTTGAAAACTCTGTGTTACTAGTGTCCAAATTCAGTCCCAAAATATCCTGGTTAAACAGGAAATTAGTCAACCTACTTGCTCAAAAATCTGAACAACATCATAAAGAAATAAAAATATACTTAAGGTAGGGTTTAAGTCCACCTAACAAATGGGGGGGGGCAAATAATATGAAACCTATAGAAACAAAAAATAACAAAAAAGAAAGCTATGATTATTTTGTAATCATTGAAAAAATACTGCTCATGATCAAGGGTC